ACTGAAAAAGCTGAGTTTGTTCAGTCTGGAGAAGAGAAGACCGAGGGGGGACATGGCAGCAATCTTCAAGTATGTAAAAGGTTGTTATAATGACAAGGGTGATAAATTGTTCTCCTTAGCCACTGAGGACAGAAAGACATGATGGGCTTAAATTATAGCAAAAGAGGTTTAGGTTGGACATACTTTCCAACTGTCAAGAGTTGTTAAGCACTGAAACATATAATCTAGGTAGGCTATGGAATCTCCATCATTGGAGGTTTTTAAGAACAGGTTAGACAAACACCTATCAAAGATGGTCTAGATAATACTTAGTCCTGTCTCAGTGCAGATGACCTACTGAGGTCCCTTCCAGTCCTGCATTTCTACGATTCTATGCTTCTATAATGCAGAGCTATACCCTTACAAAGAAAGCCCTGTATTACTCCACAGCAAGTTTGAACTGAATTCTGTGCCAAGGCCCCTATATTATTCTGCACTTCTGAGCAGCAAACTGGAGATTCTACATCAGCTTCTGATAAATTTAAAATTGGAGGTTTATACTGAAATAAATATGAAAATGTATAATGCAATCACTACAGTATCCCCCTCTCTTATCTATTAGTTCTTAATTCAGTTTATGCTGTTTCCAAATTTTTTAATTTTTCAGTGTGCTGCAGAATTTTGTATTGACAAGCATAAGCATTACAGAAGGTGGAGGTTTTTGCAATTGTGTAAGGGACAGTTGGCACCAGGGAAGGTATGGGAGGTAGTCTGGATTTGTGTGAAAAGCATTTTCATAGCTGATCATTTTACCATCCAGCTGAACAGTTAACATTATTAAAACTGAAATTTACAAGAAACCAGCTGAATAGTTAGCATTAAATTTACAAGAAACCCAAGGACTAGGTTATTAGATACACCTGTATTAATTTGTTATTTCTGTATTATGGTGGCATTTGGTAGTGACTTCACAGTTAGGGCTGTTTTCTAAAATGAGCTTTGAAATGGGGCATAAATTCCTTCTTTTATTTAAAAGTAAGTGGCTAATCAGTATGAAATTTCACATAGGATTAGTTTTTATAACCTTTGAATTTTCTATATAATTTTTATTTGGTTTCTTTTCATAAATTTTTAAAGGGAAGTCACTGAAGTTGGGATCTGGCTGAACTTTTCCTTGGTAGTAGTCCCACTTTTCATTGTTGACAGATATCTCTTAAAATATTTTCCATATACCCATATTTTGGTAATCTCTGATTAGATATGGTGCAACAGGTAATTGTTTTAGATGTTGGATTGAGGGTTATTTTAAAAGTTAATGAAAGTTTGTGCTGCGCACACAAACTGATTGACTGATGGAAGCCAGGTGTGAATAAAAGATTTTTACACTACAACAAAGAAGGATCTGTATTCATTGGTTGACAAACAAGAGCTTATGTACAATTACTGATAGATAAAATTTCTGTCAGCCCCTGCATTAGCACCCACATCTGACCTCCCATCTCCCCCTCACCTCTTTGCTGCCAAACTCCAGGCGCCAATTATTAATTTAAAAAACTAGCAAAAAAGAAAGCTCTCTGCTCCGGGGACCTTGGGGAAGGGGTGGAATCAGGGCATATTAGTGTTGATGAAAAATTATTTAGTAAAGGGTGTGCCCAAGGGAAGAGGTGGATTCTCTCTCTCCTGATGTTTTCAAATCAAGACTAGTTTCTGATGCCTTTCTGGAAGAGAGGCGTAAGCCCAACTCAAATTATGGGCTCACGGCCTGGGGCTAGAGGGGAAACTAGCAAATTAATACCCAAAAAAAGTCACTGTGAAGTAGTCAGGGTTGACCCGCCCCACAAACCATACCTGACACAAATCCAGAAAAGAAAATGATACATTCAGTTATTTAACTGTCCATACCTTCTACTCCTCCCCAGTCACACGCTTATTACCAAAACAGGCCATTCATCACAACCTAACTGACATCTCTGTGGGGCCAACATGCCCTTTAACTCCCTTTCTACCCATGTCCGCTTACCAAACTACCTCTCTCCAACATAACCAAACTTTTACCTCTCCCCGGCTTTTACCTCTCCCCCTCCGTAGCAAGGGCCATCAGCTGATCAGCCGCAGGGAGGGAGAGAAGGAGGGGCAGGAATCCAGCACGCTCGGGGAAGAGGCTGGGGGAGGGGGAAGCTTGCTTGCCCTGCAAGGAGAGAGCGGTGGGTGGGGGTCCGGAAAAGAGCGGGCCGGGCCCGACTTTTAGTGGCAAGGTGCTGTCTGCCCGGGTCTGGCAGACAGTAGCGTGCCATTAAAAATTGGCACGCATACCATAGGTTGCCGACACCTGGTCTAGAAGACTAAGGCAGAATGAGTTACAATGGCTGGAAGCTGAAGCTCAACAGCTTCAAAATAGAAGTAAGATTCAATTTTTTACCAGCAAGGGTAATTAACCATTGGAACAACTTGATTTTTAAATCAAGATTGGATGTTTTTGCTCTAGTTCAAACAAGAATTAATTCAGCGAAGTCCAATGACCTGTATCCCTACACAAGGTCAGGCTAGATGATCAGAATGGTTCCTTCTGGCTTTGGGCTTTATGAATCTATAACTTATATTGAATTTGTAACAGAGATAGGGAGAGCTTCTCCATGTATTGAGCTGGTGAATCTTCACATTATGCAGTAACTTATCAGGTATCTATAGTGATGCTAATTATTTTCAACCCAGCACTGAAGAAGAGAACACCACCACCACTACTACTACTAGATGAAGACAAAGGCTCGAGAAGGAAGCTCCCAAAAAGATCATGGATAAGAAAGTGCAGGTAGCCAGCCAAAGCCTGAGCAGCATTTTCCAGTACATTATTAACCAAGGAGGATGGTGAAAAACAGGGATAGACATTTTAAAATCTGCAGTTCTGAATAACTTGCACTCAAAAGTCCTAAAAAAGCTGGCTGAGGAGATCTCTGGCCCATTGAGTTAATTTTTAATAAATCTTGGCATATCAGAAAAATGCCACAAAACTGGAAGAGTTCTAACATTGTGCCAGTATTCCAAAAAGGTAAGTGGCATGAGCCAGGTAACAATAGGTCTCTTACTTAGACATCAATCTCAGGCAAAATAAGGAAAACACTGATAGGGGGTTCACGTGATAAAGAATTAAAGGATAGGAATATAATGAATGCCAGTCAACACGGTTTTATGGAAAATAAGGCTTGTCAAACAAACTTGATTTCATTCTTAGATGAGATTACTAGTTTGGGTCACAAAGTAACTATGTAGATGTAACACACTTAGATTTTTGTAAAATGTCTGACTTAGTACTACATGACATTGATTAAAAAAATCAAAACTACACAATATCTAAAAAGCACATGTTAAATGAATTATGAACTGGCTAATTGACAGATCTCAGAAAATAATTATAAATAGGGAATCAACACTAAATGGGGTATTTCTACTGAGCTTCTGAAGAACTAGGTCTGATTCTATTCAACATTTACCTGAATGATCTGGAAGTAAATATAAAATCACCGCTAATAAAATTTGTGGGTGAGAGAAAAGAGTGCTGGAATGATAAATAATGATGAGTAGACAGGGCAGTGATACTGAGCGATCTGGATTGCTTGGTAAGCTGGGCCCATTCAAACAAAATGTGTTTTAATACAGCCAAATGCAAAATTAATAATCCAGGAACAAGGACTGTATCCTGGAAAGCAGTGACTCTGAAAAGTATCTAGGGGTCATAGTGGAAAACAACTCAACAAGCACTCCCAGTGAGATGCTGTGGCTACCAGGGGCTAACGCGATCCTTGGATGTATAAACAGGTTAATAACGAGCAGGAGTTGAGAATAGATTTTACCTCTGTATATGGCAATGGAGAGACTGAGCCTGGAATACTGAATACAGTTCTGATGTCCACGTTTTAGAAAGGATGTTGAAAAACAGGAGAGACAGTAGAATAGAGCCACAAAAACAATTTGAGAGCTGGAGAAGATACATTACAGTGATAGACTTAAAGATGTCAGTTTGGCTCATAAAATAAGATTGAGAAGTGACTTCATTATATTATATAAGTACTGTGATGGGGAGAAAATACCAGGTACTAAAGGACTCTTTAATCTAGCTGATAAAGATTTAACAAGAACCAAAGATGGGAAGCTGAAACCAGACAATTCAATTAGGAAATAAGGCACAAACTTTAAACAATGAGGGTGAGTACTGGTTTTTGGAACAAACTACCAAGGGAAGAGGTGGATTCTCTATCTCTTGATGTCTTCAAATCAAGACTGATGCCTTTCCGGAAGAGAAGCGTAAGCCCAACTCAAATTATGGTTTAGTCAAGTTATTTGACTCAGTACAGGAGTAACTGTGAAACATAGTGGCTTGTAATATGCAGGAGGTAAGACTAGATGATCTAATGGTTACTTGTGGCCTTAAACAATATGAATTAAGGCCAAGATTTTCAAAAGTGACTTAAGTTTTGAGACTCCTAAAATTGGCTGTCAAAAATCTCTGGTCACTTTTGAAATCTTGGCTGAAATTTACTTTAAGAAACCTATTCACTGTGTCATCAAAATGCAATTATTAAATATCCCTGACACAACACTTTTTGCAAAACATTTAATAATGTAAATTTCCCCTAAAAATCAATTTTAGTGCATATTAGTGGTCATACAGCGGACACTGCTCAGATTTCCCCAATAAGCCCTGACTATGCACCTGGTACAGACCTGCAGGATTTCTGGCCTAAGAGGCAACTAACAGAAAAACTGTGAGGTGTTTTACGGATGTAGATAACTGGGAAGACTGGGTTTAGCCAAAGCCAAAATTATCTGATTTCATCTAAATCTCCAGAGAGTATTTTACTGCATTACCTGTTGTTTTAGACGAACAAATCACAAAATGAACATGTTTACTGTTACTGAATAGTAGCAAAAGTAAATAATTTATCAAGATGTTAAGTTGTAATAGGAGAACTCTCTCTCAACAAACAAACTAAAAACGCACCACACAATCCCACAAAATGTGTTACCTCTACTGCTTCCCATCCCCACTGCCTGTATTTTGGATCATGAGTGAACCTCCACATATACATGTAGGTCTCTAGAACTTCAGGTCGCAAGATATAATATTTCTCATTTTGCCTTGTAGCAATGGCCTCTACACCTCCATCGAATCTGAAAGCTTCTGGTCCCAATTTCATACCTAGGCAATAAAAATTAAATGTATAACAATGTTAGCAATGATTTTGTATGCAGGAATTTAACTGTACATCTTCCAATTGTTTGAGTATTTTTTCACTGTAAATATAAGTATTAAAACCCACAAATGCTCCTTTTCAGGCACAAACCATGACAGTTTATGTAAATTACTAAACATTAATCATACTTTCATATGAAGTTAACATTACACATGTAGTCAACACTTTAGCCAGGGGTGACCAAACTCCTCCTTATAATTGTTATATTTGGGAAATCCCAATAGCTGGGTCAAAAGGGATATGCTGTATCAATGCTTTAAATTGCAGTTCTACTCCAAAGAGTAACTGTAAAACTTGTATTGTGGGATATTTCATGTGTATTGTGGCTGATTTTTTTCCAGTTCGCTCTGGAAAATTCACCGCGATTGGGTTCTTTCATCTTCTTGCTTCAGCAACTTTAAGAATGATCTTGAAGGACAAATTCTGCATTCAGTCATCTTTGTGTAACCCTACTGTCTAAATGTTACACAGGAGAAACTCTGAACAGAATGTTGTCCTTGTATTTAGAACTTCATTAATAGTTCTATGTATGCACAAATTAACAGAATCCATTTCATCTGTGGTGGGCTCAACAGAGCTGGAGGGAGCAAAAATATTTTTGTCACTAATGAAAGAAGATGAGATGCAATAGACACAGACAGCATATCTGTTGACAATGAGGGACCATTTTTAGAGTCACTATTCAGAGCAAAACAACAGTTTAAATGAGGGAACAAAAAGGACTTTACATTAATTTTACAGAGTTCCATACAATACCTTCTGCACCTGTTTTAACCAGGACAGAATTATAGATAAAGATTAAAGCACAGCTAATCTCTCAAAATTCATCATACTGTACTTACTTGTACGATCATAAGACTCATGACACGTGCGAGCAATTTCAGCACCAAGTTCAATATGACGCCCAGTTTTATCATTGGGTGCCCCATCTGCACCCAGCGCAAACATGCCTCCAGCAAAACACGTCAGATGTCCCATTTTATGTTCAAGCAGGCCACCCTTCCACTCAGCAATGTACGTCAGACCTCCACTAGATTTCCGGATCAGATGGGTTTCTATGGACTGCAAAAATATACATTTTTAAGCCAAATTTACTACTTTGTAAGCAATGTGTGAAATACAAAGGCAAAATTGCACAAAATAGGAAAGTAATAAATTTACACCCATCCAGCTTTTTTTGTTTTCAGTTTTATCTTCAGTATAGTTTTTGCTTTGATTTTATTTGCCACTAATGATGCTAATTAACCTCTAGCCCAAAGAAAATGCAACTCTTCTTTACCAGCGCAGGTTGGCATACAACAACAACATGATAAATTTGCTGAGACTGTCTGTATACTACCTGGTAAATTTTCTAAAAAAGTTGAATTAAAAAGATAAGAAAATACCATTTTATGATTCAGATCTTCCCCTCAGTTTTATGAAAAGTACATCTTGTATACATAGGATATATTTTTAATGGCTTCAGTGATTTAGCTTGCAAATTTTCCATCTTAAAATGCTACTGTACTCAAAGGATATAGTTATGGTATCAAATATAATTGTGTAGTAAGGTGATTATCAAAGGGTTAATTGCGATACTCAAAATACTAGAGGTTGGAGCCATGCTCCACCTCCTCCCCTTACTTTGTTTTGTTAGTGCACATTTTCTCCCACTGTTTGTTACATAGCTGAATAAAGCAGCAGGTTCCCAGACTGCAGCACTGCAACTAAAGTGTGTTTCTTATGCGCTGAGTGGGTCTCTTCACAAAACTGGTGAGGAGGAAGAAGATAAAAATGGTAATTCATGGGAAAACTGAGGAGTTTAATTCAGAACATGAAGATTGACAGTAATATATTGGAAGATTGGGCCACTATGTTATTGCAAATGAGATTACAGATCAGGACAAAACAGAAAGCAATTTTCCTCAGTGTCAGACAGTAAAACCCACTGTCTCTTAAGGAGTTTGTTACAACCTCAGAAACCAGGAGATAAGAGTTTGAATGACCTTCAGAAGACTTTAACAGAGTACTGCATGCCAAAGCCAGACATTATTACAGAATGTTTCAAGTTTCATACTAGAATGAGGTGGCAAGGTGAAAGTGTACCTGTGTATGTGTCACAACTAAAAAGACTAATGGAATATTGGTAATTTGGAAGCGTCCTAGAGGACATGTTGTGGGACAGATTTGTTTGTGGTATCAGTAATAAGAGAATTCAAAGACAACTGCTGTCAGAGGGGAACTTAACCTGGCCCAAAGCAGCAGAATTAGCAACAGCAATGGAAGCAGTGAAAAGCTTACGAGATTTGCACTTAGACTGCAGGGACAATCAAGCTGATTCAATATGCAAAATGCTAAGCCAGCTGCAAGGGACAGCCCAATGCCGTAAGTGCCTCAAGACTGGACACTCAGCCAGATGATGCAAAGCAAACAGCATCTCAAGCCCAGACGGGGTAGACTGAAAAAAACAGAGCAAACAGAAGAAAGCAGAAAGGAAGACACAAAGGAGGTACACACTATGTATTGTCTATAAGGGAAGAACGTGGGACCTTACAAAGTAACAGTAGAATTAAATACAGGGGTTTCAGCTACTGCAATCAATGAATCTACAAACATATCAACAATGCAAAGCAGAACCGAGCCTGATAGTGAATGCAAGAATGACCCTGAGTGCCTACAGCAGAGAACCCAGCAAGGAAGTAGCAGTCCTAGTGGTCAAGGGACAAAGGCAAAACCTAGGAGGCCGAGACTGGTTCCAAGAACTAAAACTAAACTGGGAAGAAATTTTCAAATTAGATCGTAGCACAATACCAGCATTCCAGGAAATCCTATATGCTCACCCAGCCACTTTTAAAGAAAGGTTAGGGACCTTGGATGGTGTAAAAGCCAGGATTTACACCCAGGATGGGGTCATACCAAATACTTTAAAGCAACTCCAGTTCCTTAAGGTTTCAGAAAAAAAGACAGACTGAGTTGCACAGACTGGAAAAGAAGGTATCATTTCACCAGTGCAATTTTCTGAATGGGTCACACGTACAGTTTCTGTGGTTAAACCCAAGACCATCCATATCTATGGGAATTATAAAGTCAGGTGTGTCAAGGCTTCAGGTTAGACTATTATCCCATTCCATGGATGGAGGACTTGCTGGCAGTGTTAGGTAGAAGTTCAAAAATTTAGTAAGCTGGACATGTTGCAGGCATACCAACTGATGAGGCTGGAGCAGGATTGTAAAGACAAAAAAAGTTACCCCTAGAAACAACCACAGGGGCTTATACCACACAATAGATTGCCATATGGAATATTGTCAACATGTGGAATTTTGCCAAGGCCATCACAAGCAGAAATGACACTGAACATCTATCAACACTGGAGAAGATTTGAGGCAGCAGCAGTCCACTTACAGAAAAATAAATGCTTTTTGATGACACCAGAAGTGGTCAGGGGTGCTGGAACAATTTGTACAGTGGGGGTGCTGAGAGCCATTGACCCGAACTTCAAACCCTGTATATGATGGAAACCACTTCAAGCCAGGGTGTAGTCAAGTGATCATCAAGGGCTATTCAGAACATTATGAGCTGCAGCTATGATCTAGCCCTCCCTTACTTCCTGTTTAGCTCGCCTGTCTTTTCCCCCTGCTCTCTTTGCTATGTAGTTGAATAAAGCAGCACGTTCCCAGCTTGCAGTGCTATAAGTAATGAGTATTTCTTGTGCACTGAATGGTTCCTTTACAAAAAAAGTGTTATTCAAATTGATGTACTTTACATATTCCAGAAGTGAACATACTAAAGCTCTGACGCTGTACTGAGAAACGTAGCTGCAGAAGCCTACCCACATGAAACCCTGGCGCACAGCTAAAAGCCAGCAGAGCTCCACATGAACTCAGGGTTCTGCCTAGGCAGTTCTCAGTGTATGAGGTCTTGGAGACCTCTGAAAAACCCAGCAATAAAAATGCTGAAATATACTAGTAAGAAAGAATTAGGAGTAGGGGAAGTCTGTCATCACAAGATTTAGGGAAATCTGAACACACTATGTACGTACCAGAAGGTACACTGTGTGTAAGGGGACTGTTGCCCCCTTACTAACATTCAGTGGGGGTGTTTTAGTTGCTAGCTCCCAGTACTAAAAAGGGGGGAAGCGTTGATGGGGAATCAGGACCCTGAGACTCATAGTCCCCAGGAACAATGCGGAGAGGCCAATGCTTCAGGTCAGCCTCAATGACAGGACGGGCAGGCGAATCAGAGAGTCAGGAGGCCAGGGAGGTCCCGGTCCTCCGTGTGAACTGGATTTGCCTGGGTCAGACAGAGTGGGGCCGAGCTAAGGAGAAAGCAGGGGCCCAAGCTAAGCTGTGGAGCAGAGCTGTGCCAGATCCAGAGAGGCCAGAAAAGCAGCCCAGAGAGAGCAGACCCTGTCCTGGGAGCAGAGCTGCAACCCCAAAGCCAGAGGCACAGCCCAGAGAGAGCAGACTTGCCCTGGGAGGAGAGCTGCAGCAACCATAGCCAGAGGGGCCAGAAAAGCAGCCCACGAAGCAGGTCAGTGCTGGGAGCAGAGTCACAGAAGTAGCCTGCAGAGCAGACCTGTCCTGGGAGCAGAGCTTAGCAACCAGAGGGCAGAGGGGCCAAAGAAGCAGCCCATGGAGTTGGAGGCAGAGCAGCAGCAGCACTGGGACAGTGGTGGAGCTGGGGCTGGAGAGCAGGTGGGGAGAACAAGGGGGACCCCGGGCAGTGGTTCCAGCACAGGGAGATGCCTCAGCCAAGAGGCTCTGCAGGCCAGGTTTGGATTGTAACCCCGACAGGGCAGGGGTGACACTGGGAAGAAGGGTCCTACCACTTAGAGCCTGAGAGCATGTGGCCACCACCAGAGCGAGCGTCCAACCCACAGCATCCCTACAGCACAGCCAGGCCTGAGAAAAAGGCCTGGGACTTACAAGGAACAGACTGTGAACTGCCCTGACATTCCAGAGACATTGTTTGTGATGTTCCCTGCCACAGAGCGGGTTGATGTGTTTCCTTTAACCTTTCCCATTTTTCCTTATTCTTTTTAAAATTAATTGTTGATTAAATAACTTGCATTTGCTTTAAATTGTATGTAATGGCCAGTGGGTCAGGGAAGTGCCCAGTGCAGAGAGAGTACCCCGGAGTGGGTACACCGTAGCCCGTCCTAGGTAATCACAGCAGGGTTGGGGGTCGAGCCCCCCAGGAATCCTGGGCCCAGCCTTGTTGGGGTTACGAGGACTCTGCCAGATAGGAGAGTGGAAGGGGAGTCCTCAAGGGCAGGGAGGCCACCGGGTAAAGGAAGTGGAAGCGAGGACTCAGATCCTTTCGCTAGCCCACTTACCGGGGTAATGCAGAAGCCAGGAAAGTTCCCCACAATAGCGGGACTATTCCCCCGCTTACATAGAATATCAGGGTTGGAAGGGACCTCAGGAGGTCATCTAGTCCAACCCTCTGCTGAAAGCAGGACCAATCCCCAATTAAATTATCCCAGCCAGGGCTTTGTCAAGCCTGACCTTAAAAACTTCTAAGGAAGGAGATTCTACCACCTCCCTAGGTAACGCATTCCAGTGTTTCACCACCCTCCTAGTGAAAATTTTTTTCCTAATATCCAACCTAAACCTCCCCCACTGCAACTTGAGACCATTACTCCTTGTCCTGTCCTCTTCTACCACTGAGAATAGTCTAGAACCATCCTCTCTGGAACCACCTCTCAGGTAGTTGAAAGCAGCTATCAAATCCCCCCTCATTCTTCTCTTCTGCAGACTAAACAATCCCAGTTCCCTCAGCCTCTCCTCATAAGTCATGTGTTCCAGACCCCTAATCATTTTTATTGCCCTTCGCTGGACTCTCTCCAATTTAGCCACATATGTATCATGAGATTAAATGGGAGGCATAAAGAAAAATCTGAAAACATAAGATGACAGTCACAGGGAATGGGACCCATGTGCTCTTGAAAGGGACTGAAGATGAACAATGCTATTGTTTATTCAGTTGTCCACCAAATGCTTAGTTTATTCCATTACAATAATAAAACCCAAAAGGATGGCTGGAAGATAAATTAAAGGGAAGATAAATTTGATAGTCCACAC